TACTTTTTTTTGCCCGGAAATAAAATTTGTCGAAATGTTTACCATGGTCACTAATACACTCCGGGGGTCCAAAAGGGTGTGTGGAACCATCCAATTTTCCTTTGAACAGCCAATTTACTTATTTACGACTTGCACCGATTCATAAACTCATGCCTATCACGAACATTTATGACTTCTCTAAAATCTCAATTTTTTTCGACACCGTACCCCACCTTAAAAACTTCTCAAAAAGCGTGGATATAAGCATTCAAGTTTGGAATTTTTTTACTATTTTTCGCTCGAAAATAAAATTTGACGAAATTTTTACCATGGTCCCTAATACCCTTCGGGCCTCCGGGAGTCTAATTGATTGGGTGTATCCATCCAATTTGCCTTTAAATGACCAATTTACCGGTTTATAACTTAAACCGATTTCATTAATTCAAGCCTACCACTAACATATATGACAACATATAATGATCATAAATAGTTCAAAACGGCATTATATGACCCCCAGATGTATTCCCTAAATTCTCAAGACTTTGCGATATCGGGCCCCGAAACCTCCAAAATTTCTCAAAAAGCAAGGACAGTTAGCCTTCAATTTTGGAAAATTTTGACTTTCTTTCGCCAGAAAATAAAAATTGCCGAAATTTTTATCATGGTACCTAATACCCTCCGGTCATCCAATTTGCCTTTAAACGGCCAATTTACTGGTTTATAACTTGCACCGATTTCATTAACTCAAGCCTACCACGAACATTTATGACAAAAAATAATGATCATATATGGTTCCAAATGACATTATATAACCCCGAGATGTATTCCTTAGAATCTCAAGGCTTTTCTATACCGGGCCTCGAAACCTACAAAATTTCTCAAAAAGCGTGGATATTAGCCTTAATATTGGAATTTTTAGACTTTTTTTCTCCTGTAAATAATAATTGCCGAAATTTTTACCATGGTCCCTAATATCCTTTGAGAGTCCAATTGGGTGGGTGGAACCATCCAATTTGCCTTTAAACGGCCTATTTATCGGTTTATAACTTGCACCGATTTCATTAACTCAAGCTTACAACATACATTTGTGACAACAAATATTGATCATATATGGTTTTAAACGGCATTAATTGACCCCGAGATGCATCCCTTAGAATTTCAAGACTTTTCAACACCGGGCCCCGAATCCTCCAAAATTTCTCAAAAAGCGTGGATAATAGCCTTCAATTTTGAAATTTTTGACTTTTTTTTCGCCCGAAAATAAAAATTTCCGAAAGTTTTACCATGGTTCCTAATACCGTCCGGAAGTCCCATTGGGTGGGTGGAACCATCCAACTTGCCTTTATACGACTAATTTACCGGTTTAAAACTTGCACCGATTTCATTAACTCAAGGCTACCACGAACATTTATAATAACAAATTATGATCATATATGGTTCCAAATATCATCATATGACCCCGAGATGTATTTCCTAAAATTTCAAGACTTTTTGACACCGGGCCCTGAAACCTCAAAAATTTCTCAAAAAGTGTGGATATTAGTCTTCAATTTTGAAATTTTTTAATTTTTTTCGCCCGAAAATAAAAATTTCCGAAATGTTTACTATAGTCTCTTATACCCTCCGGGAGTCCAAATGGGTGGGTGGAACCGTCCAATTTGCCTTTAAACGACCGATTTACCGGTTTACAACTTGCACCGATTTCATTAATTCAAGCATACCACGAACATTTATGACAACAAATAATGATCATATATGGTTCCAAATGGCATTATATGACCCCGAGATGTATCCCATACAATTTCAAGACTTTTCGACACTGGGCCCTGAAACCTCCAAAATTTCTCATAAAATGTGGATATTAGCCTTCAATTTTTGAATTTTTTGACTTTTTTTTCGCCCGAATATAAAAATTGCCAAAATGTTTACCATGGTCCCTAATATCCTCCGAAAGACCAATTGGGTGTGTGAAACCGTTCAATTTGCTTTTAAACGGCCAATTTACCGGTTTACAACTTGCAAGTTGCAACGATTTACCGGTTTACAATGACCAATTTAATTAACTTGCGCTGCACCCTACTTGAACCAAAATTGACCAAAACCCATTTTAACCCGTCAAAACCCGAATTTAACCCGACTTGTTACGAACCTGACCTGAATTCAACTCGACCTGTTCCTAACCTGTTACAAACCCGACTTGTTATTGACCTGACCCAAATTCAACCTGACTTGTTATTAACCCGACCCGAATTTTACCAAACCTATTACTTACCCAACACAAAAATTCAACCTAATCTGTTACTAACCCGAATTGAAATTAACACGACTTGTTATTGACCCGACCTAAATTCAACCCAAATTGTTCCTGTCCCGATTTCAAATTACCTTAAATGCAATTTAGACCACCTTATTATTGTTGATCAAAGCATTTTGTCTTGGGAGACCAAGTCGGTCCAGGCCAGCAAAAGAAAAGAGCATCATCCTCAAATTTAAGAGTTAAATATATAGTATATATTTGTTGTATGGTCAAAGGAGATAATTATCTTCCTAAATTATAAACTATAGTTCTCTAGTATATTGACATATATATTATAGCCAAAGGAAATAATTAGCTTGATAAAAATGATAATTATCTATTTATAGTTAATAGAACTCGAATATGACTTTACTTGGAAATGATCCCACCTGATTGTAACCTACAAATTATTGACTTGAACATAACTCGACTTGAATCCGAGAATGACCCGACTTGGAAATGACCCAAAATGATTATAACCCGCAAATTATTAACTTGAACCGAACCCGACTTGAACCAGAGAATGACCCGACTTGAAAATGACCCTGCCTGATTATGATCCGCAAATTATTTACTTGAACCCAACCCGACTCAAACCCGAGAATGACCCGACCTGATTTTAACCCGCAAATTATTGACTTGAACCGAATCCGACTCGAACCCAAGAATTACCCTAACCCGTGAAAACCCGAATTAAATCTGACCTATTGTTCACCCGACCCAAATATAACCCGACTTGTTATTAACTCGACCCAAACCCGATAAGAAGTATGACCCAACGTGACCCGACTCAAGCATGATCCAACCCAAACCCGACCTGAATCACATTATACTAAGTGGCCTGGATTAGCTTTGTTGTCAAATACCTCCAAAATAAAAAAAATAAAAAATAAAAAATAAAAAATAAAGGATGGAATCACATTATACTGCGTATTATTATTTTACTGTCATAACAATATAATTGATACCATCCACTTCAATGACATACTTATAAAACAATATAAATGAAGTAAGGAGGGAGTTATCCCAAAGTTTTAATCCGTAATGACATGAAGCTAAGTCTTCTCTAAATCGAGTTATAATCTCATGAATCTTAAGCTTGATTTAGCATCGTCATAGTCTCCTGATTCTTAGACGTCTATTGGTGTGGCTCAAGTCGTTCCAAGCATAATATATGTGTTGTTGACCTGTTGGTGAAGCGGTAGGAGCCTCGACATATATGTGTTGCTGCTGCTGCTGCTGCTGCTGTTGTTTTTCGTTGCTGTTGTTGCTGCTGCTGCTGCTCCCGCTGTTGCTGTCATAATTATAATCATCATCATAATATGGATATGGAGGATCGTTAGAGGCATAGAAAGAATCAGCTTGAGAGTAATCAAGCGAGTGATGATGAGCTTTGTAAATTTGGAAGAGAGGACAACAATAGGTGATAAAAAATGCAACAGCCAACAAACAGAAAATAACCACCCCTGTACGAATTCCTTTCCTATGGCGAGGCGGTGACAGAAGCAAAGGCTCATTGTTACTCCCTTGGTTTTCCATATCAACATCAGCTATCTTCAGGTATAATTGCTTTGTTTCCATACTTGAGATCCTAAAGCTAAGTAATCTGATACCGTGATACGAATGACAAATATAGACGAGGAATAATAACGAGTTTGTTGGTTAAACTCCTATTCCTAGAAGGATTATATTTCGTGTAATCCTATCTATTTCATGAGTGTTGGGACTTTCCTTGCTTCTTTCCCACGTTTTTAAAGAAATTTTCGGTGAGGCCAATTTTGTGGAGATATAAAGGATGATTGGAATAACAAATAAAAGTTGTAATTGATGGATATCTTTGGCGTAAAGGGTTAATATAAACCTACAAAAAAAGTGGGTAATTAAGGTAAGGTAGACTAACTAACATGCACGAAACAACCCCATGAAGACGACGTTCTGACTGTAAAGGGTTGGATTCATAAACCTTGTACTCACTGCAGTTTTTGGCTCTACTTATTTGTGTCATTGTTTTCCTGTATTACTTTCGCAGTTGTTGGACATTTGGTACCTTCTGTTGTTCAACGACTGCATTATTTAATTAGATATCGACCAATCTAAGCTTATCTTATTCATTGACTATTAACTAATTTAATGCCATAATTGCATCACATTCAACAATATGACCCTATTTGGTTTGATGTAAAAGGTTTTCATGGAAAATGAATTTTTCCATTTTTTTTCTCATTTTCCTTTGTTTGGTTTATTAAGGAGTGGAAAACAATTTTTCAAGGGTGGAAAATTCCATCCTTAATGATGGAAAACATTTTCCTTCTAAAAACAAGGGAAGCCACATTTTCCTCTCTCCTTCTTACCTCTTTTTTTACTTCCCTCTCATTCATCCTTACATTTTCACTCTTATTTTGTATTTTTCTTGGACTTTTCTTGTATGCAACCAAACAAAGAAAAACTAATTTGCAATTGTGTTTTTCCTTGAAAATATGTTTTCCATGAAAACTAATTTTCCATTGAAAATATTTTACATTAAACCAAACAAACAGGGCCTATATGTAATCTAATTTTACATAGTTCCTTACATTTATATACAATCATACTTCTTTAAATAGACCTTTACTTTTTATATTTCCCTTTTTCAAGGAATTCTCCGGTTAATGAGGCCAGAACTAATTTTTGTTTCTATTCTAAAACATTGGATTTCAATAAATTGCTTTATAAATGCAAACAGACATAATAATATTACTATTATTAATAAAACCAAGAACACAGGATATATGGAGTACAATGTTCACAGATGACGATCCAAAAACATGGATGTCTAATCAAGGGCTATAAGAGGAAACAGAGGTAAAACATATTTACAACAAACATTATCTGCTACAGTCCAATAATTTCTGATACACTGCATAATACATTTGCACAACTCAGTGGCAAACAAGCAGATTTCAGGAAGTTGACCAGATCTTTTTCCAATATTCCATGATCACCCAGGGTTGTCTCGACTCTGGAGACCACAAAAAGATTTTGAAAGGAAAACTCTGGACCAATGCCCAGTATATGACTAGAGTTGAAATTATGTAGCAATTCTATGATTCATAGATGGAAACCTGCATATTCCCTCCTAGACCTCGATCTTATCCCTGGTATCTCAGGCTCCATGAACTTAGTTGGTGCACCAACCACTGTACCTTGCAAAGTGACTGCACGACTGAATGTTGGTGGAGATTGACCCTACTAAAATATGAAGTTGCTAATTTGCTCATTCTTTCCTCTTCCAGCACTTCGCCGGAAGATGTATGCTCCATCTTCTGCATCTGCATTCAAGCAATTCATCCTATGCCTGAATCGATAAATCAGGAGTTAGTTTGATATATTCATGAAGAGATTCATTCAAATGACAGAATCTGAATGCAGCTACACAGGAAGCACAGAATACTAACCATTCAAAATGATCCTCGCAGCAAATGGATCCCCAGACCATTGCAAGCCCACCTCCTTTCCTGTACTTGACAAGGAGCTAATCACTACATGTTGGGCCAACAGATTAAACCAATCTCAAAAAGTTCAATGCGATATTCAACTAAGTCTCTTAGCTGTTAACCATAAAGCTGTGACATGCATAGGCAGTGCTTGAAATTCTTCTAGATATGGATGAGTGAAATTTTCACTCTTTCATCAATCCAGCACATCCATCCTAACTTTTTAAATTTTTACTCTAGTTAATTTGGATTCATGCACATTTTTGGATGCCAGACTTTTGGCAAGGAGATTGACTAAGCATTTAGATAGCAGACTAGCTGCTGGACACAGGACACAGGACTCATGCCCTTTTCAATCATGTTATATGATAAAAAATGCTCAAAACTTCAAGCCAAACTGAAATTGCCGGCTATGTTACTCAGACACGGATTAAGTGTCTACTTAGATACGAGTATCCAAGTATCGGACTCGGCCATTTTGTTGAAAAAAATATCTAGTTTTTAGTTAAAAATGAAGTGCCCAAGTAGAGTGTCGTGTCTTCGATACGACACTCAATTTTTGAGGTAAATGAGGGTGTCAAAGTAACAATCAAATCGGAATTAAAATTCAGAGGAACAATGTAAGGAAAATAGAACATACCATGTTGCAGTATACATATCATAGAACTTGTTGAATGCCTTGTCAAAACAGTAGTGGCAAGCTAAAAGATCCCTGACATCAATCACTTCACAAGTTGACTTGGAGCATTTGACCTATATGGAAGTAAAAGCTTGACTTATCTCAATACAGCAGAACTTAACCACATACTCTATATAAAATAGTCACTTGCAAGTGGCATTGTAACAACTTGGGAATTGACATATAAAACTATGTTTTAACATTATTCTCTCATGTGAGTTGGATCCAGTCATTCCCCTAAAGTTGAATGCAAGCAACAAGCAGAAAGACTATTTTGTACACAAATTCTCCATGTACTAAGATGAATAAACTGAGGCAGAAACAGTAACTTTCACTTTATAGACAAACTACAACCAGCAGAACCCAGATGACGTGTAAAAGTAATGCATGACAGAATTCGGCATAGTCTGGGATAAACATAGTCTCAAGAAAACTAATTTTTATTCTGTTGTCACAAGTGCGAAAGCTGAACAACCAGCACAATGACAAGTGCTACACATTAGCGGTAAAAAACAAGCAGCAGATTTTATCCTCTAAGCAAAATACATACCAAGCGCTCAAGTTTATGAGAGTATATATGTTGATGTGCAGGATGAGCTGATATATGCCCAGAGAGATGACCTGCACTGCAAAAGTTCTTAATGTCAGAGGACAGAGCAAGTAAGAGATCCTATATTCCTATTAAAGAATAATGCCTTAATTAAAGGATCTAGGACAATAAACAAGTGATGCACCAAATATAATTTTTTTTTTTAAACATGTCAAAGAAAAGTTAAATGATAATGGGGGCTTATTGAGCATGTATAGGCTCCTGAAGACTCAAACTTGAGGCTGAATCATAAATGGTTAAGTAGGTGCATGAGCACCCTCCTAGCTTAGGGATGTATCCACCACTCACAAAATATCATAAAACACAGGGATAGAGAACAAGCAGGCGAAAAAATTACAGCGTACAAAAAATAATTGCACTCTAATTTTGGAAATCGCTTGAAGATGTGACCAGCAAGAATCAGACCCAAAAGAGGCATTAGTCGATGAGTTGGTTCAGGCAGGTCAGAAACTTTGGGAATAGTACCATATTACCATATCACATAAAAGTTTCACATAATCATTTAAATATCATTAATACTGAGCTCAATGAAAATAATAATTGCTCCAGAATACCTGTCACAAATTATGGTACTGCAATCAAGGCATGTCGCCAAGGAGATAGAATTGCAGCATGCATTGCACTTAGCATTCACCAAGGTCTTGTTTATCTGGTGGCATCTGAAACATGATATTGACAGTAAGCTAATGTAGAAGGGAACGATTGGAAAAAAGAAAATGTATATATAAACAAGAAAAAAAAAACAATTATATACCCTCCTCTAATTCTAGATTCTCGTAAGCGTAATAGTAATGAAGAGTTGGAGGAGACTGGGCACTCCTCACATGTCGTGTTATAGACTACCACCTTTTATCAATCAGGTATCTACAAATAAACATAATGATAGGGTATGTTATTAAATTACAATGCTCCACAGCACCGAACTCCTAAATCTCAGAATTCCAATTTCTATTTTCAATTATATCTCTTGTTATTTTATAAATTATCTCTCTCTTCCCTTTCTCCTCCATTCCCCTTTACTATTATCAGATTTGCAAAGCTACAAAACTGCATATCTTTACCATCGATCAAGAATTTGAGCAAATAATAGATTGTAACTTTGTGAGACCCAAATTTTATAGAGAGCTTCCACCAATTACTGCGACATTCAGAAGACTGGCAAGCGGCAACATGTCAAATCGTGAGAGCGCCACACATGGCATGGAAAATTGGCAGATTGGAAGGCAGTGCAATCGTCTTTCTAAAGGCCCAAAGTGATCCCCAAAAGCTGCCCACCAAATCTATAATAAAAGCACTAGATACACCATAAATGTGCCAACAACTAAAGTTTACTACCTATTACTTGCTTTACTAAATAGTTGCACTATTTCTCTTTCGATGAACCATTATAATAATTTGATCATAATTTTATCAATGCATAATTAAAGATATTTATGGTCAAACTAGTTCATTGAAGACCATGAAAAGACAAATGTTGCATCTATTATGCAAAGAATAATCTCTTATGAAGTTAAGAGGTGGCAAAGAATTTTTCATTTATTATTTAAGTATTTAACAGGGTCAAAAATCAAAACCTGCCCATGCGATTAAGACAAGGGGAGGTGAAACAGTTATATTTCGTTTTAGATGTTAACATCCCCCCCTCCCCCCCCCCCCCCCCCCCCACAGTCCCAAAAAAAATAAAGTGGAAAAAAAGCATGAAAAAGAAGCATGACACTTCATGTAAAATTCTTCATTGATTTGATATGAGGTATGCAAGGGAATTTAAAGGGCATTAGTCATCTCGCACCTTCACAGGCTTCACTAAAACACTAATTGACTAATTGTTTGATGACGTTGATCAACATTATATTAAATCACAATCAACCACAATATCAGCAACAAAAAAAAATTAAAAAAATAAAAAAAGCAAACCTTCTGTACAGGAAAATTTCCTATAGAGATAACACAGAAAAATTCTTTTATAACAGCAGACACAAACCTTCTGTACAATTCACGAAGTTTTGCGGATATGAACACAGGTCTCTTCGGCTTAACTGCACCCTACATATTGTAGGAAGAGGAGTTTAAGGCACATAAAATGGTAAAATGATGTAGCATGCATAAAAGTCCTGAGATACATGCTATCAAACAAAGATTGAACAAAGCCAAAGAAGGGGAGAGAGAGAGAGAGAGAGAGAGAGAGAGAGAGAGAGAGAGAGAGAGGGGAACAAAGAAAGAGTGGCAGCATAAAGAGCACCTGACTGCAGATTCGAGTCAAATTTAAAGGTTGGAGGCAAGGTTTGGATACTAAACAATCTTCAGCAAGATGACCAGGTTTATTACACTTCCAGCTACAAAAAATAGTAGAGAGTCAAGACAAACTATGTAAGAAGCAGAAACAGAAGACATGATGATCTACAAGATCACAAGTTTCATGACCTAGAGGGAGCATCATTTATCATAACATCATGAGTCATGATAGCAAATTCAAAGGCACGAAGCAGGAAAGTCATAATTTCACAAGGAGACTAGTATCAGATTTTTCCATCACCGGCATCATTGCTTGTCACTTTATCAAGGCATAAAATTAATTGGTACTCTAATGAAAGGTTCTTTTTTTAAAAAAAAAAAAACATTTTTGACACTAAACAGGCCATGCTAAAAGACTTTGTGAAAAAGTTAAGATATTCTACATAATTGAAGAACTTTACCATTCATAAGTCGATAAGCAAGATCTCTTTGTAGCCCATCTATTGCGATCAAAGTCCCAAGTATCTTCTTGTAATTCAGATCGTAATAATGATCCTTGGGGTTCATATGTAGACAAAATCACTTCACTGTTAACAACACCCTGCATAAATCAGATTTCTGTTAAGACGATTTCTTCAAATTTGTCAGAGCCTAACTCAAAGAATAGATGGGCTGCTACCTCAGGAGGGCCATCATGCTTTTGCTTTAACAGCACAGCCTTGCAATCCATGCTACAAATGTCATCATCGGTCTGCCAAAAAACAATACACCCCAAATAAGCCAATGAGTGAAAGGAAAGCCGTGAAAAAGGTGTAAATAAGATTCAGGATGCAGAAAAAACATGAAGTCGTGGTCAAAATTCTACAATCTACATCATACCTCATCACAAATGTACTCCCCATATCTACCACAAATAACACAGACAGGTTCACCAGGTAGAGGAAATCGCTGCTCACTTCTACTTTTTGTATGATCTAAAATTCGATTAGGAATCCGTTAGTAGGTGAGAAAATGCAGTTAAGAAAACCTCATGACACAAGAATACCAGAACAGCGAACAGGCATTCTAAACTTAATGAAATGCTAGTCAGGTAGATAATCATGCCTCTAAAGTCTAAACTCTTAGGCTCCGTTTGTTTTAGGTGGATAGCTACTTTTTAGAGTAGGAAAACTAAACTCGTTTTGTAAAAAGGTGTGCCACATTTTCCTTGTTGTTCCTCACTTCTCTATTTCGATGCGTAAAAAAGAAAAGGAGCATCTGGGGCAAAAGTGAAGGAAAAAACACCTAAATTTGGGTGTCCTGATGGTTGTTTTGATATTGAAGGACAATCATCAGCTGATGCAAAAGAGAAAATAGATTAATTACAAGTTATGAATAACAGAAAAAATACAATTAAAGCAGACTGACTGTCACTTGTGTAATCCACCAATTGTAAAGCAGAAGCAGATGAACCCTGTCAATGTACATTAACGTAATATCAAAATACAATTATTTTCTGGGGTTAATCTCTGAGAAGAAGAAGAAGAATGAATTACCAGAATATCATCTGGGGTTAATTCCTGATACCCATGAGAAGAAGAAGCAGCAGCTTCTTGCCTGTCAAATAATTAATTGTAATTGAAATTGAATTCGAGGATGAAACATAGAACAACACCGTATTCATTGAAATCAAAGTAGACCTTCGTAAGTGGATGTAATCCTGGTGAGACATAGGGCCGTCAATATCATCATCGACTTCAATTTGGGATTGGCGTGGATTGGTGGATCGCTGACGACGTCGTTTAGGATTGACAGCGGGTGCCGGCGAATCGTTAGACGGCGTAGCATTACCAGCACCGGTGACGGCATTGTAAGCATGAAGATTCTGAAGAATGGAGGAGAGGCTGTAAGCTCTTTTGTAAGCAAATGAAGGGTTCTTGTACAAATTCGACCGATTCGACATCTTTCCCTTCACTCTACTTCTATCTCTACCCTTCTTTTACTCTCATGCCCTCATCTCCAATTTCCAACAACCTTAGGAAAGGAAATGAGGTCAAACAATAGACCCATTTCATCCAAATTTAGGGCATATTCAGCATTACTTCATCAATACTATACTATATAGGTTACTAAATTAATCACCAAAGTAATTACAAAAATAAAAATACATGTGTTGTGTCCGCATTTAAAAAATTTCCGCCAGAAATCTTTTATTTTTATTTAATTTTTTCCTTTAAAAAATAAGATAATTGATAAAAAATAAATAAATAAAGTTATACATCCTAAATAATACAGAGTAGAATAATAACAAATTTAAATAAATAAAATATTAAATGTATACAAAATCTGTAAACAAATACAAATTTATAGTAATATGTAAATATATTTTTTTTTTCTTGTTATGAATATTTGAGCGTTCCTCAGGCAAAAAACTATCCATCCATATACTATATACTAAAGTAATCACCGAATGGACACTTGACATTATTTTATTGTGGCACGCACTTTAAATATTATATTACTTTCTCCATCCTTAAATTAGAAGTCTATTTATCTTTATAATATGAGAACAAATACGGAGTATTAGAATTAGGCTTTTCATGGTAAACTAATTGTTAAATTAGTATGATTTTATGCTAACTTTCTTTTTAGCTATTTTATATCCCAATGGTTAGCTATTAGCTTGCTAATTAAATAAGCTTGACTTTCTCAATTAGCTTTAAAATTTAATTTTTTAATATATTAATCTTCTACAATTTTGAAAACTTTTTTCTCAAGTAAATTAGCTTGCCAAGGTAATTGTAATTTTTAGCTCCAATAGTCAAGTTAGTAGCTTAAAGCTTTTAAAAGTTGCAAGCAAGTCCCTAACTATAATCATTGGAGTTATTCTAATAAAGGGACAGGGGAGATATATTTACAAATTTATATATGAGAGAAAAACTTGGATTTTCTTCTCCAAAACCGATCCATATATTCGTATAACTAATCTCAATGGCTACGCATAAGGTTTGAGTTGGAAAAGTAAGCAAAAGGTGGCAGAGAAGCGAACACGATCAAGGAGGAGTATGTAAACAGTAGTAAAGTCAAAATATGTCAGCTAAAAAATGAAGGTAGTACAATTTAAAATTATCTTAAAATAAAACATTGATCTAATTTGAACTTTTTTTTTTCTAAATTTGGGGGAATTCAAGTTGTGTAAGGTAAATCCGTAAACATATCCCCTCTCACAATAAATAATTTTTCTTTTACTTTTTAAATAATAAAAGTGAAATCTTAAAGTGGCGCAGAAATCAATACATAAAGTTTTGAGAATAGATAAACTCAAGGGTTCGTTTGGCATTGTTGCGGTTTTCAGTTTTTTGATTTTTTGTATTTTAAAAGTGTATGATATATGTCATATAATGAATAAAAAATTAGTCAAACTTATTAATATCATGCTAATTTTAAAAATTGACAACAGAAAAGTGAAAACACTTTTTTCTTGTTTCTTGTTTTTGATTTTTTGTTTTCAAAAAAACTGAAAACTCAAAACAAAAAATAATGTCAAACAAGCCGAAATGTTGGTTTCCTCGTAAAAATAAGTTAAACCAAACCAGGCCTTAGGTAACCATTTACTTACAAAGTCAAAGTTAGTGTTGGGGTTGACAATTTCAGAAGTGAAAAAGAAACAAGTAAGAAGGGGCGGGGGCGCGTGAAGGAGTCTTGGAGGAGGGGTCATATCATCACCATTCACCATTCACCATTCACCGGCAGCAGGAAGAGGGAAAACTAAATAAATTGCTCTTGCTTGGGTGAGGGGTCATTGCTTCTACGAGTATTACTTAAACCCCATACCAATTTCACATCTTTCTCAAATCTAATTTTTGTTCGGAAATTGAAATCCCACTGGTTTTGTAAACCCTAAATTAGATACAGATGGCTGGTATCATAAGATCAAGCTTGTCATTCATAGTGGGAACAGTATTCGGCGTTTATGTGGCTCAAAATTACAACGTCCCCAACATGAGGAAGCTTGCTGATACTGGTATGGCTATGTTCAACCACCTTGAGCAAACTTATCGCAAACCCAAGAAGCGCGGGGAAGAGGACGATCACTAATTTACCTGTAATTTTTCTTCTCTTTTTCCTTTTTTTTTTTTATTTATTTTATTTCACTGTAAACTACTTGGACATCATTTATGGTTTTTCCCTTTGATTAATTATACCAACTCTTGATTTATCTTTCTGGATTTTCAAGATTGATAGTTTTGGTTTTATGTGTTCAATGTGGCGCATTTTTAAATCTTAATCGTGTTAACGCTTCACATTTCTGATTGATTAAGTTTGCCAACACTCTAATTTGATATAGTCGTGTCCATCACTACTGATTAATTGATGGGTTTCAAGGGATTATAGATTTATAGAATACTGAAACTTCCAAGTCCATTGTATACCTATGTTACATGTATTATAGCCCCATTTACAATATTAATGGACTAATGGCTGTCGAATGTGCTGTGTTTTAAAATTTTACAAGCACTTCCAATGGCCTGAAAGTTGGGACTATCGACTCATATAGGTAATCCGAAGAGGATGTAGCTTATACATGGAAAGCTAGCAAAATTAAATCAGACTGAATCTTATGATTGGAAGATTAACTGTTACACCTCTTTCGATTGTTACTTTATACACTTAGAATTCACAGGACATGTACATAAATCAGATACGCATAGCACAATACTACTTAGGTTCGACAGTGGAGTGCAACTGTCACAGAGACTGCTCTTGGTGGATTGGTGGGAAGGAAGCTGTATACCTGAATTTGACTCAAGTCCAAGGGTACTGTATTGGTGGATGTTGGAATGAACTCCCTGGAATTGCTTATTACAGATTACTGGTCCAGCGCTATGACCTGATCCAAATTCCAGAGGATCAGGCCTACCATTCTCCTTCGCCAATGCTTACCTAAAACATAAATACATAACTCCCTTCCAAGCTGAGGTTACATGCATTGTTTATTACCCTGTCAAGGCAGGAGGCCCTAGGGTGAAGTAAGTGCCAAAATGCCTCACACTTGGTTTGGATGAGAGGACATGGAAGTAGAGGGAAAATTGGGAAAGGCCGAAAGGGAGATCTTGTTTGGACAAGGGTTGAAGGGAGGAAGGGGATTTTCCCTTCCGGTAAACACCGTGCCTCCGAATTTAGAGAGATTTGAAGGGAAAATGGTCAGTGTTGGTTTTAGTACTGTGTAAATTTAAACCTTGTTTCGCTGTTAGCTGGGAGCTTATGTCCCATTCTACTTTATAATTTTATATTGTGTCCTTGAAAGAGTTGACATTGTTACATTAATCGACTATGTTTTGTGTGTTGCTGGACTGCCGGAGAGTGTTTATTTGTTGATGTCTTGGGTATGGCCTTGTGCTCATGTCTGCTAGGAGATGCATGATACTACTGATTTACTGGGTACTGACCACTGTGTTTACCCTAGTATTTTTGCATATATCTGACTGTAATACTGATGCCATGAGCTTTACAGCAAATAGATATTGGGTAGTGGCATAGCAAACAATGTCTTCTGTTATACAGAAAAGACCAACTCTTGTCCAAAACGGTTTGATAACTAGCCCAGATGTGTTGCCTTTTAAAAAAAAAAAAATTGTTGTGATCAACTCTAGCAGAGTCTACTAGCATAATCAGTGTGCTATCATTGATTCAAAACTTGATAGTAGACCCTGCTAGAGTTGATCACAACACCTCCCCTTCTGAATGTAGTTGTCTTCACCACATTAAATTACATCACTAATTTGGGTTTGAGGGACATGTAAAGAGTGAATTATCTAAGTGAAACGAGATGCCGGACCTCTGATTATCAATGTCATTCCGAAACAGGGACATGTAAAGGCCAGCCAGAACTGCAGCTGCTTGAAACAGTTACTACATGATTCTTGCTCCTATTTAAAGCTTTCGTTTACAGAATATAAGTACTCCTTGATCATTGTTGAGCTGTTACTCCATATTTGTTTTTGTGGCTTTGTGGCACATGTATGAGAACATTCAAAGATTGTAATGTTGCAGTCTTGCAGAATCCTTGATCAATAATATCAATACAGTATTTATTGTTTTTACATTATGAATTCTCAAAGTATGCGTTACATTGTACTCTCTAGTTATTTTTGGTCTATAGCTTCATATTCTTAAGTACTCGTATATCTTTTCTTCACAAATGACTATACGCCTATAAGTACTGGCAGTAGTTCATCTTCCTACTCTTATCCAGACACTATTCGTACCATCTAGAATCAGTTCTACACCCAGATACAACACGTCAAACCGATATACGTACTCCTTATTGCTGGCGAGTTGAAAAAGTGCATTACAATCGATATAAACTAAATTTCAGCCCACTTGAATAAGATACTACGTATCATTTATTTAAAGTCTCAACCGGTATAACAGTAGAAGAAGGAAATGTTTAGAGAAAAGTAGTTGGTGTTGGAAATGGTAATGGTAATGCAATCGGATAATTGCTAAGCCTGACAATCTGACTCGTTGGAGATTTTCCAAGGAATACTCGCGGCCAACCGGGTGGGCTGTTGGCCGACCGGACCCACCTAATTTGCTTGAGTGGGTTTGTTTATTTGTCTTCTATTCTTGGGATACATATAAATACAAGTATTGTCTTCTTCTTTCTAAGTTTAATACGTAGTAATACAGTATTGAACCCTGAACACATAAACAGTTAAACACAAACCTACCCTTTTGATATCTGAACAGTTCTTGAACAATTCCAACCTTTGATTCGGGTACACGAATTGCAAAGGTCGTTGTCTAAAACTTTGGGGGTGTGCGTCACTGGAAAACCTATACTGGTAGTGACGTATTTTGCTTCTAAGGCAGTGGGTACCAAGCACATCACAAACGAAGGAGGACAAGTTTTTGATTCGAGTATGGTGATCGAATTGTTCTAAGGACTTGCTAATATTGTTCATGGAATCAAGAGGTATTTTTACAACAGTTGGTTTAGACTTTAGTATATGTATGAATGAATATGTTAATATGTATAGTCGTACACTCATAATTTCATATGATATGTTCTTTGTTCTCTACAACCCCATCTGTTTCAGTTTAATGGTTGCACTTTATACGTAATACTCCGTATTATTTCGCTCCCATTACTATCACTAGTAAGTAGTAATACAGAGTATTATTATTTCATTGGCCCTTGTATATTTTGAAAGTAGTACAAAGTTCTTTTTTTCAAAGTACATGTCTATATAATATATACCCATTACACTTAAAACTAAAGAGTACATGCCTTAAAGTCACTTTCCACATTTCACAACCGTAGCTCAACTTACTCCGTCATTGGGACTTAGGGTCTGTTCTCATTCAGGGCCGTCTAAACTATTATGGAGGCTTTGTGCAATTGAAATACAATTGCCCCCCCCCCCCTTGTTTTTTTTAGTAACGTATAATAATATTGCATTTTTTTTATTAAAAGCTCCGCTATGATTTATTTGTTGAAAAGGTTTAGAATAAAGAAATATATGTAGTTTTTGTAATACTATTGAAGAGATTAAAATATGTTGAAAAGCAAAAATAAAAATAAGTTATAAAAGCATTTATGGGTTATTGTAAAGAGGAGAGAGAATGGTAATATTTTCTAAAAATGAAATTGAGTCAAGGGACCATTATTGGGGATAAAAATATAAATATTGTTACAATCTTCCAAAATATAGGAATGGAATTTAAAAAAAAATGAAAAGTAAAGCACAGACAAAGTATTTGAAAATCGTTAAAATTAAAATTAAAATTAAAATTAAAATTAAAATTAAAATTAAAATTGAGAAAAGTTAAAAAAAAAATTTAAAAATAAAAAAAAAAGTACATAAGCAAGGCTCGAACCGCGTATCTACAAAACTTAGTATCACCATACTTACCACTAACCCACAACAATAACACTTAATTTGTACAACAATTTTGTATATAATTGTAAACTTTGAGGCCCCAAGCAATTTTGGGCCCTGTGCGATTGCGCATGCCGCACACCCTAAGGGACGGCCCTATTCTCATTTACTGAGGTGAAGTGAAGTGAATTGAATTGAAATAAAATGTTTTTGAGAGAACGAAATTAGAAACTGATTTGAGCTGAAATGAACTGAACTGAATTAAGCTGAAAAGAACAAGCCTTTAAGGCCTTAAACTAACTTCATCGGATTCATCACATGGAGTTGGGATTATAAAGCGTTGCACTTGTTGACTTAACTACGACTCTACGAGTATATACTCTTTTTTTTTAATTACTAATCTCTTCACTACCCGGCTATTCCCTTTCCACCAAAAAAAAAAAAAAAAAAAACATTGTTTAGGGCCTGTTCTCTTACGTTGAAATTCAGTTCAGTTCAGTTAAGTTCAGTTGAGTTCAGTCAATGAGAACAGACCCTTAGTGTATACAAAAATTATACTTGTATAAACCTTTGTATATTTCATTGTTTCCTTCCTACCGTCAACTTAATCATCTCTAATAAAAGTAGTGGAGAGGGACAACAATATAATCTATTAATCTAAATACTACTCCGAATGTGATTGGAGAAATTTTTTATTATTTATTTCACTCAAACATGCTTAAATTAATTATTTTTCTCAAACCCTTCACTATTATTTTAAAAGAGTAATCATTAAGTAATTTTTTAAGTTGCTAAGAGTCATAATATGCATATACAATTTCATCATAGTGTTGGAAAACTCCTATAGAAGTTATAAAATTAACGTGATCATTTGTAAGCATTGTCATTTTTCTTGTGAAACCGTAATAGATTTTATAGGAGTGAAACAATATTGAATATGTCGCTTTTTGTATAGCTACTATGTTGCCAAGTTTTGCTGATTAGAGACCAGTAGTTTTTTTTTTTTTTTTTTTTTTAATAATTACCGTCACAGTGCAATTTAAGATTAGCTTCCAATATTAATTAATAAATAAAGTGTTCAATAATTTCACTAGGGTATAATCGTAGAAGGTATTTCGTAATTTTAAAAAGGCAGTAAGAAAAAGGAATTTGTTTGCATTTTTATTTGCATTGCTTGGCTTGTCAAATAAGTAACTACTCGTATAAAGTTTAGAAAGTTGATGGCAACGTATAGAGACTACCATTCCCTAGCTAAGGTTGATCATCAATGTTTTGCATTAGCACCAAGCCATCAAGGCTCTTTCTCGGCCTCTTAGGCGAATAAGTCTAGCTAGACAGTCTGGGTTTCAGTTTAGATACGAGGTAAAATCCAACTTGATCAGATTTATATAAATATATATTTTTGTAAAAATGTAAGATATATGAACCCTACTAAATTAGCACAACATGTTAAATCAACTTTGTTGGTCTACGCTTGAGAATAGAGGGGGATATAATTGAATCCCCTTACTCGTTTTACAAAATACTACTCGTATTAGAATTATTACAAAATACTCCGTACTCCTTAATAAATCAACAATGTACATACTCGTAGAAGTATATACTCCGTATATTGATTTCCGTCATTTTTTCTTACCTTAACAAAATAATATGGAGAGGTATTGCTATAATCCGAAAAATACAAATGGAAGAGGGGGGTTCACGACAAAGTACTACGAAGTAGAAAAAGAATTGACAGCCTTATTTATCACAGTAAGAAAAAGAAGTCAACTCCAACTACAAACTCTGTCTTGTTAAAAGGCTGCTACTGTACTAACTACCCACAGGTGCCGTAAATCTGGTGTAGCCATTTTCTACTCCATAGTAAATTTGCTTTTATCTCAGGGGCTTTTTTTTTTTGTCACTAATTTCTTCCTATTGACCCATTCTTAAGCTTAACAAATGTTTTTTGTCACTAATTTTGGCCTTGATTTTTTTTTTTTTTTTTGGCTAAGTAATCAAGTTTAAGAAATTGGTTTACTTTAAATTTGCAAACGGACTGATGTTGACTCCTACTTGTTACTACTTGGTTTATTATACGACTTGTGAATTGAGCAACAATTATACTCCGTAACGTATTTTAATTTCTCACTCTTTTTTAATTGACACGTTTGAGTTTTGAGTTTTGACCCTTTTTTTTCAAAATTTCTTTGTTAATTTTAATAAATATACACAATGGTAAAGATGTACCAATATCCTTGTAGTGTAAGGAATATGATTGGTTGTGATTAGTAGATGTACCAATCTCCTTGTAACTACAAATAAAAGGAAAATACCAAATCTATTCAATGACCGTGATTTAAATAAATAAATAATTAAAAAAAAACTTAGTTTGATTCGATGTTCTTATGTACTCCGTATTTGTTAATTTATTAGTTGATTGTCAAAATATAATTATAGAAATAGATTTTCAAAGAGTATACATTGAGACGTTATGTGTAATCTTATGTACTTCTTTTGCTTATGGGAAATTCTCAATGGTAATCATCAATTTTTTATTTTTCTCAATGGTAAACAGCCAAAATTCCAATTATCTTTGGTAATCATAAATTATTAATATATATTAACTATAACATTAATGTTATATTTTGATAAAATTCTTTAACTAGGGTTAGTTTTTTTTATTTTAATAATTAAATTATTTTTTTAAAAAAAAACCACCACTCATCCCCACTAGCCCAGCTAGGCAGCCACCCCACGCACAATCCCTCCACCCACGCACCATTCCTCCACGCGCTCCCTAACCACCCCCTGGCCGCCGGCGCGCCCAAACCCCTCCACCACTGCGTCGACGCCGCACTGAACCCCCCTAACGCGTATCCCTTCCCCCAATTCACCTAATTCCTTCCCCGAAACCCCCTTCCTCCCCCACAAATCCCCCTAAAACCATCACCCCAACCTTAAAAAAACCCTTAATGGACCTCCCTCGCCGTCGCTAGGGTTCCAGATACGGTATTTTCTAGGATTGGAGATGGTTTTTGGAGGGTTTCGTGGGGGTAGGGAGGACGGATTGGTGGTTAAAGGGGAAGAGGGTGACGCGACGAGGGAAGAGTAGATGAGGTGTCGGTGCTGGGGTTTCTGGGTGCGGTCGAAGGTGCGTAGGGCTGGGCATGGGTGGATCGGAGGAAGGAGGTTGGCTGGGGGGTTGGGCAAAAATGGGTGGGTTTTTTTTTTCTAAA